TGGCCCCAATGCAGAACAATGAAACCAGAATCTCTGTGGGTGGGGCTTGGGGCCTGGACTTCCTCAGGTGATTCTGATATGAGACCAAGATTGAGCCACTAGGTAGCTCCTCCCCATGTAGGGGGCCTAGCTGAAGTCCCATTCCTCCAGGAAGCCTTCCTGGCTTAACCCTGTGCAGGTGACCATCCTCCTCTAGGAGTCTGGGGGCCATACAAGGAGCAGTTACTGGACACTGATGACAGCCTGTTTTGTGTGAGGTAGTAATTAGGAAGCAGAATCAAGGCTTTGCCTCACACTAGCTGCATATCCTTGGTCAGGTTACCAAACTTCTCTGAGACTGTTTCCTCACTGGCAAAATGGGCATTAATAATAGTACCTACTTCATGAGCTGGTATAAGATGCTTCCACTGACCAATCCAACCTCAAGGACCCCACATCTCCCCATGGCACCCCTACTTCCAAAACTATAGGTCCCCACAAACCCAGAGAATGAACCAGTTTCCAAGAATCTCCATCTCCATCTCCAACCTACTTTCTCCTGCATCCTGCATGCTGGGAGCAGCTTCTAGGCAAGTCACATCATCTATCTTTACACTTCCTTCCAGGAAGACTTCTGAGCCTCCAAGTCTGACCTTGCCAGTGACAGTGAGAAGTATCAGAGAACAGAAAACCAGCGCACACAGCTACCACCCAGGAGGTAGCTCCTCTTCCTTAGGATCTATTCCAGCCAGATGGGCAAAGTCTGCTCTATGGGCTGGCACAGGGGGCATAGCTACACATTTATGCAGGGTCTTCACTGCTGAGAAAGCACTTCTTTTTTTTTTTTTTAGTATATGTGCTGCCGAAGCGAGCACGAGAAAGCACTTCTATGTGATTTTTGTGAGATGACTTCTCCACCTCTGCAGATGACTTGACCAAGGTCATGGTTAGCAAGTTCTAGGGCTAGAGTTAAGAGTATTAAGAAATTAGGAACAATAGAAATATTAAAAAATAGAGAAATGATTAAATTCATTAGAGCACATCCATAGTGTGGAATACTATGCAAGTACTAAAGTCATGTTGGGGTCGGGGGGAGGGATAAATTAGGAGTTCGAGATTAAAATATACATACTACCACAAATAAAATAGATAATTAACAAGGATCTATGTATAGCACAGGGAACTACATTCAATAATGTAGTTATACATATAATGTATAACTACATTATAATAACCTATAATGGGAAAGAATCTAAAAAAGAATATATATATTCTTTACTGAATCACTTTGCTGTATATCTGAAAATAACCAACATTGTAAATCAACTATATTTCAATAAAATTTTTTAAAAAGTCATGTCTTCAAATAATTTTATAGGAAAAGGTTCATAATAGGCTGAATTTTAAAAAGCAGAATATAGAGTTTGATCTCTGCTTTGTGATATAGATACACTTATTGGCCTATCTACAAATATATATAGCACATATATTTATAATAATACCAAAAATGTTTCTAAGTTGCTTCTGGTCCTCCCTCAGTAAATCGGGCCCCTCCTCGCAGCCCCATCCTCATGGAGGTCTAACATATGAAATTGAATAAGAGAAGCCTGCTGACCACAAGCCTGAACTCTGAGACCTTGTTTTGTGAAAAATGACACTGAGGGAGAGAATAATCAGAGTAGTGCTAGTAGGTGGTGTTTATAAAGTTTTTATTTTCAGTTTTCTTAAAAATAACATTTGATTTCCTTTATGCATGTGTGAAGTGTACTTGCTTTCTTAGGCTGAGTTAATAGGCAGATAAAGACAACACGAGGCAGGGTCCCCAAGTAGAGGTGGGGGGGGAGAGGGTGTGTGAAGGGGGGGCACAGGGGAGAGGGAGAGGGTGGGTGACCCACGGGACGCTTGAGTGCCCATCAATGCACAGACACAGTCTAACACTTTGTTTTTCGATTTTTTTTTAAGACATCTAAAATTACTGAGAGATACAGTTTCAGCACTTAAATATACAGACGGAAATCCAAGCACTTGAACACAATTCTTAACTCTAAGCTCAGTTATTGCACATAACACGGTTTAAGCAGGCTTCAGGCTATAAAGCAGTTTGCTCTGCTTGGGACTTCCTTGGATGTCTCCAGTCTTCTTTTGCACCCCCAGTGTCTCTTCCCTTTGACCCCTGCGAGTCCACAGCCTCATGATGATGCCGGGGGTCAGTGGATTAGCCATTCATTCTCCCCAAGGGCTGAGGGTGAGGCTTTGGTGAAATGGAGGGTCCCCAGGTTGATCCCCATGGACCCCCCCCCACCCACTCTGGTGAAGCTGAAAGCACATGGAGCTCATGAGAGGTGAGTGGGTGGCCTGCCCAGGTGGGGTGGCATGAGGATGGAAGTGTGACCACTGGCCACATGTGGTCACAGCCCCCAGGGGATAATGGGGTGCAGTCATGCCCCCTCACTCTCTCATTGGTTGTGCTTCCCTCCTCCTCCTTCTTGAGCTCCCACACCTCCTTCCCCATCACCCTGAACCTTCTCTGAGCAGTCTCTCAAGGCACATTTGTTTGTTCTGACTCCAACCTGTCCCATTTAGACGCGACTGTCTCTCCCAGCGCCCAGGGGAAAGGAGACTGGGGTGGCCAAGGGCAGCTCCAGAGCCAGGCCAGAAATTTCTTTGAAAATCTGGTCGAGCTCTTTTCAACACAGTTCAAATTCCACTGCCTGCCTAAGCCAGGGGAGTGGGGACAGGACAGAGAGAGGACACGGAGAAGAGGGATGCAGAAGAGGCCGGGTGGCAGACAGCTTGGTCAAGGGCACACATCCAAGGAGTGAGGAAGGACACCCCTGCAACCTTGCTCACAAGGAAAGCTGCACCTCGTCCGACAGGAAGTCACCTGAGGCCTTCAGCCCACTGGGCTCAAGCTGCTTGGTCTAACTTTGGGGGGGCCTCGGTCCCAGAAAGTGGGGTGAAGCAGCATAGGGGCTTCAGACAGGGCAAGGCTGGACCTCTGAGTCCCATCAGGGTCTAGTTCAGCGTCTTTTGCTTTCTTTCTACAACATATTTACAAGGTCATAAAAACGTGCACAGCCGGACGACCCAGAGACACGGAGAGGATGCGTGCCCCCAGGAGGGGAGGGCCACTGTGAGAGGAGAGGGGCGCCCCTCACCCACCCCAGGATGCCCCAGCATCCTCAACAGCTGCGCCCAGGAGATGGTTCCAAAAGTCTGAGCCAGGGCAGAGGGAGGAAACAGACAGACTCCAATCCTAGTGAGAGCACGAAGTTTCAAGTAGCTCTGAGAGGGGCTGCGCTGACGTGGACCGGTGTTTCCCTGAACCGAGCAGGGGACCAGAGGGCGGGCTGGGAGGCTGGGAAGTGGGGAGCAGGAGACGGGCAAGGGGGATCTGGAGCAGCGCAGAACACCTTAACGACCAGAACTGTGCTGGAGAATGAGAAGCGGTTCATGGGGCTAACTGGAGTTTTGTCATTTCCCCTCAAGGGAGGACCTGGAAGATGTGAATCCCAGGGTGGAACTAAAGAAGCCAGGGAGCCAGGCTGGGAGGCTCGCCCAGGGAACAACCTCACCATGTGGACCCCACACCTGCGACCCCCCAGCACACAGGGTGCTCCTCCTCACACGCCAGGCCCCCAGGGATGGTCCCTTGGCTCACACACACTCACACACACACACTCACACACACACACACAAACACAAACACACACTCACACACACAAACACACACTCTCACACACACACAAACACACTCACATACACACACACAAACACACACTCACACACACACACTCTCTCACACACACACAGCACTCACCATACACCAAAGGGCATCAGAGGCCCAAACCCAGGAAAGAAATTCTTTACCAAAGTGTTAGGAAATTTGCTTTAACAGGGAGAACTGGACAGAGTAGGGGAAAAAAAAAAACATGGGGTACCTGCTCATCCACCCCGGCTCCCACCTGGTAAGAAGGTTTGGGGAAGCACTGAGACAGGGCCTCAGATTCTGGCTACCCCAGACCCGTCCCCTCTTACTTTTCACAACCCTAAACACCTCAGAGCTTGAGAAGTCCTCCACTACAGCAGCCCTAGGATCCCTCAGAGGGGAGGGGGGAAAAGCCGAGGAGCTGAGAGGACTGGGGCTGGAAATGGCCCAGGGGTGCCTCTCTCGGAGGAGAGACGGGGAAATGTTGTGGTCTCTGAGGGCAGAAGGCTGCAGCTGTCCCCTCCGTCACAGGATCTCAGGGACAATGCCTTTTGTTGGTCTGGATGGGAGGGGAGCATTTATTAAGGGGTCAGGGAGGAGGCGGCACACCCATTGGCAAGACCCAGGCCCTTTATCTGCTGCCTGATCTTCAGGTTCCTGGAGTGGGGACCCCAACCAGGGAGATGGGGAGGGTGTGCCCCCCCTACAGGGACAGGGGAAGCCCATCTGCATAACTACCACCCACTGCCTCCACAGAACAGCACAGACCAGGCCCCCATGTGAGAGCTGCAGGAAAGGGCATTCCAGGCGACCCCATCTCTACTCCTAAGGGCTCTGCCTGGATCTGCAAAGGCAGCTAGCTCCCGCTGGCCCCTCCCCTCCCGCACATGGCCCCCCTCACCAGCCCAGCAGCCTGGCAAGGCCTTCTCCTCCCCCACCTCTCAGCTTCTGCCCCCAGGTTCTTCTCAGCCTGGTCTGGGTTAGGAGGAGAGTCCAGCAGAGGGAAAGGGCTCCCTAAGGTGGGTGCCCGACTCACCGCATCTGAGTCTGAGGAGGGGGAATGTCAGAGCCAAACTGGCCAGCAGACAGCTCCCTGCCCTCCCTCCCCTCTGCAGCGAGGATTCATCCCACCAGGCCAGGGCCTGACTCCAGAAGGGAGGGGCGACGGGCACGGGCAGGAGATGCAGGGCTGGTTGAGGCAAGGGCAGAAAGCCAGGACCAGGAACCCCAGGGTGACAGGGCGGCTTGGATGGGGCTGGGGGGCTGGCAAAGGGCACAAAATCCATTTTGAATCAATTTTCACCTTGCAGGGTGTGTGTATGTGTGAATGTGTGTATTTCAAAACTAACAGATGGAAGAAAACAACTACAGGAGGCCTTAGGGGCCTTTGGGTGACCCTCTGCCAGTAGCAGTGTGGACCAAGGACACATTTGTCAGTGCATGCCACACACACACACACACACACACACACACAGAGTCATGCATCCTGGCCACACACTCACACAAGTGCCATGCACATTCACACGTCCGGTCCTCCCCATTGGAGTCAGGGTCCTTTAGACTGTATTTTCTGGATCCATTTGTAATCTGCCTGCTTCTGTCCAGGTCTCTGCTGCCGTGTCCCCCCGGCCGTCAGCACGCTGGCCTGCCCCGGCTCCCCGCGGGCCATCTACCAGATGTAGCCGCCATCGTCTGCCTCGCCCGCCTCGCCCTCCTCCTCCTCTGTCTCCTCGCCTGCTTCCTCTGTCTCCTTCTCCTCCTCATCCTCCCAGCCGACACCGCTCCCGAAGTCCCCTGAGAAGCCCACGATGTCGTCTGTGAGGGGAACCAGCCAAGGGGCAGGTTAGGACCCTGTCGGCAGGGAAGCCCACCCCAAAAAGCTGGGCCCCTGGCTGCCAACCCCTGGCTTACCGCAGTCGGGGCTCCCGTGTGTGCGGGTGCCGGTCAGCTCCAGGCCCAGCTGGTCCACACACCAGCAGTCTCCGCTGCTCTGGTCACACTGCATCTTCCGGTAGTAACCATCCTCGTCACAGCTTGGGATGAAGATCCCTGAGTGGGGCAGGCCCCGTAGGGTCAGAGCAGGGGCCTCAGGGTGTGGGCTCCGGAACCTCAGACTCACAGATGCCCGGGCCCCACCAGAGCCCAGCCAGACCAGGTACCAACCACTTAACAAGCTCGGACATCCAGGGCTGGATGCCAGGTTTTCTTCCAGTTCAACTGAGCAGAAACAAACCAACCAAAAGAGCCTCCCTGTCTAAGCCACCTGCTCAGCCCCTGCTACGGGTCCCATCTGCCTTCACGGTTTCCCGGTCCTGTAGGATGGCCAATCTGACCTCACTGTGCCGGACGCCCTGGATCCCAGGCTGCACCCAGGCCTGCAAAAGTCCAGCTTTTTCCTCCCAGCCCTCTGATTCTGACCTGCCCTCAGGGCCACCCACTTTCCTTCAGATTGCTCCTCAGTTCACTCAATGGACTGCTGAGATCCCCACTCTGGGGCCCCAGGGCTAGACAGACTGCCCACGTTGTGGGGGTGATGTACGTAAAAGGACAGGCGCCCAGTGCACATGTTCCAGGAACACAGACCAGAGAGGACGGCTCCCAGGAGGCAGAGCCTGGCTTCCTGACAGAAGAGGCAGCAGCACCGACGCCCAAAGGCCACTGGGCTCTCGGTCAGTACGGCCTTGTGGGGAGGTTCTGGTGTGTGGTTTCATGGATGCTGGTGTCACTGCTCAGGTAAATGCCAAGCTGCACCCAGGAGCTGTGAGGCCCCATGGGACCTGCCTCGTGGACCTTTGTCTTCACAACCACCATGCTCAGCCAAGAGCATGAGCTTCCTGTTTCCCAAGAACGTTTCCCCGCCCTCGGCTTTGCTCCTGGCTGGCTCACTCTCATCCCCTCAGGTCTCCTCTTGAACACCAGCTCCCAGGGAGGCCTTTGCTGACCCCCGGCTGACTTCTGTCCACTGTGCTCTCCCTCAGCACCACATGCACAGGAGCCATAAATGGGCGCTCTTTCTGGAGTGTCAATTTGTGGGTGTGTTTCCCCAAGTAGCCTGTGTGCTTTATGAGTCCAGGGACCACGTCCGTCGTGCCCAGCAGTTCTGATCTGCGCTGGGTTCGCTGCTGTCTCTCCAGAGTTGGCACTCAAGTATTTGCTGAGAACATGAACATCTGCTGTGGGGGAGGGTCCTCCCTCGAGCTTTGCACACACTCTGCAGTCCATGGGGTTGCAAAGCGTTGGACATGACTGAGAGACTGAACTGAACTGGCTGATTGAACTGAATTGAAAGGAGGGTTCGAGGAACTTTCCGTATTTCTACCTACAGCCCCAGCAGGAATGGGCACAAAATTCATGCTTAAAACACACTGAGGGGTTGGTTGGGAGACCTTGCCTCACCATGAGGATAAACAGAAGGGGAATTTCCCTCTCCCATCTTCCTAAGCCAGGGCCTCCTCTGAACTCAGCACCTTCCATGACACCCACAGGCTAGAGCCTCTGGGCCTCAGAGGTACCCTGGGGCACCTGCCTCCTCACCTGGCTTCCTCTTGGCAGCCTCCTGGATCTGGATGCGCTCCAGCTCTGCCAGGCAGGGAGGCTCTGTGGAGAGAGAAGCCGCCTCTGATGGAGGCCGTCCCGTGGTGCTGACGGCACTCACTGAGCCCCTACCCGAGGCTTAGAAATCAGGCAGGGGGCTCTGCAAGATGAAAATACAGCGCTGCCGCTGTGGGATGCACTGATCCCTCTAGGGTCCCCTGAGATGACAGAGGGGCTCTTCCAGGGGAGAACACCCAGGTTCCAGTTGAGAGAGGCTATTCCATGGCTGTGGGATGGGTTGAGGCTCCCCAAGGGCATTGGGGACTCATGGGATAAATAAACAGGATTCAGAAGAGGAGGTGGGGTGAAGGCACAGATTCCCCAGGGTGAGAGGCCTCCAGGGCAACATAAGGCTGGAGGGAACATTCAATGGAGGCCTGAAAATAACTAGCAGCCAAATCTAACTTGTCTGTGACCTTGAGAAGTCCCCTAGCCCTTCCCAGCATGAGGCCTAACTGGCTGTAAAATGAGCTCAGCTCCCAGCTAGACGGCTGCTAGAACAGAGAGCGTGAGCTCCAAAGGCCTGGGAAGTAATAAGTGCTGCTGGACCATTGTGGGGAGAGTGGAAGGCTGGACAGTTCGGGGCAATGAGACTGATCAAAACAGGAGACCCTGGCAGAGGGATCTGTGCTTTACATGGTGCTCTGCACCCAGATTTTTCCCACTTCGTCTTCACAGCAATCTCTGAGGTATTGTTATCTCCCCATTCAGTTGCCCAGGGTCCCAGCCAGCTAACAGTGGAGCCATAGCGGAAGCCCCAGCCTCAGGTCACAGATGCGGTAACACTCCCACCACAAAACCACAGTGGGGACCACGACAAACACCAGAGGCAGAGCAGGGGTGCCCCACCTCCAGCTGGCCAGCTGACCCTTTGGAACCTCAATTTCCCCATCGATGATGGTTACCCCTTGACCTAGGTGGTCTCTTGGTGCATGTCCCACTTTGGTTCAGGATATAAAAAGCTGGCAAATGACACCACATTTCTAAGGCTAATGATCACTTGCACACCCATATCTGGGGCGTATACTATGAGATGGGTTCAAAAGTGGAATCATTAAGAAGCCAACGAAGCTTCAGTTTCAGGACCGCTTAGCTTCTCCCAAGCCCTCTGAGGGGCCCTAGAAATTTTACATTTGTAGTTTTTAATACTCTTCCTCAAAGTAGGCCTCCGAAAGTGCATAAGCTTCAGGACCCATAAGATCCACCCAGGGCCTGCTGAGGAAGGGGGTCAACGTGCTGGTTTCCCTGGGCTCCAAGAGATGAGCTACTGAAGAGTGCAGGAAGCTGGAGAGCTGGCAAGGTTCTGGGTGGTGGGAGGTGGCCGAGAGGGAGCCACCCTGACTCCCATAGAGGGCCTGGAGTGAAGGTCAGAGCCCGCATGCCAGGCAGGGGGCCTGGGGAGGGGGCCCCACTCACTCTCCCTCCAGAAGCAGAAGCACCACTCCGCGGTGGAAACCCGGCCATCCTTGTAGGTGTCGCAGGAGTTGAAGAAGGGGCGGATGCAGACTTCGTACTTGTCCAGATTGATGGCAGCCAGCTCGGTCTGGTCCAGGAAGAGGTCGGCACTGGTGTCCAGCTTGGAGAACATCCAGCCAATGGAGTCCTTGCAGCTGGCCCCCAGGCTCTTGTCCAGCCCTGGGGAGAAGGCCACAGTTCAGACCTGCTCGAGGTAAATCACTCCATCCATCTGTCTATCCATCCCTCCAATGCTCGGTCAGCCCCAGCCCTCTATTCAGGGTCAGGACAGCTCAGAATCAATCCAACCATGGGGGTGAGAAACTCAAGAACGGCTGAAGGCCCACCCCTCGGCCTCTTTACATGACCCCCCACACCAGTCAAAATCCTGTTTGGAAAGTCCTGCAGGGAAAGTAATTCCTTCCCTTCCCTTGGCTGCTCATTCAGGATTTAGTTTCTCTCTACCCATTTTAAGGAGTCCTTCCTGTTAGCTAATTCAAATCCCTCCAGTCCGGTCAAAGCCTACCTCCCCTTGTTCTGAAGTTGAGGCTCTTTCAGGCGCTCAGTGTCTGGCAGGAGGGGGCAAAATGTGGGTGCTTCCCCAGTGGATCCAGGTGGCCCCAGTGCACACCCATCTCCCCATCTTCCCGCCCTCCTCCCCGGCACAGCAAGCAGCTCCCATACCACTGGCCGGGCTGGCTCCACTGCTGGCTGAGCCGTTCTGCTTGGAGTTCTCATGAAGGAGCTGGAACCAGTCCCGCAGCCGATCCCCCAGGTCAGCCAGGTCCTGACCAGTGCACGCCTCTGCAGTTGGCAAGACAGGGAGAAAGGAGGGGGGGGGGTGAAGCAGCAAGCTTGGTCTCGGCTGGGGGGTGGGGTCTTACAGGCCTGGAGTCCAGGCAGTGGTTAGGAGCGCCAGGGGGAAGGAAAGCTAGAAATCAGAGGCTCTGTCTCCCCATCTCCCATCTTCTCCTCCCTCTCACTCCCTAGGACCAAAAGCACACAGCACAGGCTCCCTGTGATGAGGCCAAGCCCTCCTGCTCCATGCAAACCAGACCCTCCAGCTCCACAGGTCCCTCAGGCCTGTTCCTGGTTTTGGCTACTTCTTCCCTCCTGTTGCAAATCTCCTTTGCCCTCCCAGAGCCCCGAAGGAGGACCCCAGGGTCCCTGGCAGTGAGCCCCCCCGGCCCCCCCATGGCCCAGCACTTGTTACCTGGTTTGCTGTCGGAGGCAGAGGTGGTGGCCTGCTCCGTGGGGCAGGGGCAGGGGCCCTCGCATCTCACCATCAGCTGCTTGCTGCTCAGGCACGCCTGCTGCTCCAGCTTACACTACAGGACAAGAAAGTGGGCTGGGTGATGGGGGCACTGCTGGGCATACCCTCCAGCCTACCATGGCAGCCACATTTGCCTTCCCCCTTGGAGATGGGAGGGACAGACCTGCCAATAGCCCAGAAAGGCCCTCCCACTCCCTCTGCAGGCCACGGGTGCACACTGGTCAGAGGAAGCAGGCCCAGGAAATCGGGAAATGAAGTGCTCCCGGGATCCGCACTCTGCACCAGCCTGCCCTCTCTGCACATTTGTCCTTCCCAGGGTACTCGCATGCCCTCACTCTCATGCACCCACCCCTCCTTGCCTTCTTGGCCTCTCCTCCCCCTCCCCACAGTCCCTTGGTAACAGGCTATGGGCCCCTCCCTCACGGCCTTCCCACAGTCTCCTCTATGGGCTCTCTTGATAACAAACAGCTACTACCTACTGAACATCTGCTAATTCCCTGGCCTTTAGAGCTTCCAAAAGGTTCATCTATTCCTTGCTTTTAAAGCATTTTTCTCTGGTCGTGTCTGGTTTCTCCCCATGGGATGACCACTTATGAAAATCAGGTCCTGGTGGCATCTTATAACGTGATCTCACCTGGTCCCCCCCTCAGCTCCACAAAAGAGAAATTGTGTTTCTTGTGCTCAGCAGAGAACACGGACACTCAGAGAGGCCCAGTGGCTCAGCCAAGGCCACAGGGCTGAGCTGGAATCCAGACCTCCTGATGACTTCCACCCCCTGCCCTGGGCAGATAGGGACTCTCACACCATGGCCTCCTGCCCACACCTCACTTTGCCCTCAGGTGGTGTGACTCAGGGCACTCCTCCCCACCCCCACTGGCTCTGCTTGCCTCCTCTGTAACCCTCTGCCTCCTCCAGGCAGCTTCTGCCCTCTGGCTTATTCTCTCTCTCCTTCCTCTTCTCCCTGGTGACCTCATCCCCTCCCCAACTTCAATCATCACCCACAGCAGATGACTCTTAAAAGTGCATCACACACCAAATGGGATCCTAAGCCTAGAACCCAACTCCAGCTAACAGTCCATGCCCTCCAAACACCAAAAAAGTCCTCACTGCTAGTAGAAGCATTCACAATTAGCACCTGCACTTCTATGGTACTTCAAAGTTTATGCTTTCACAAATACAGTCTCATTTAACCCTCATAAAAATCCTACAAAGTTGGCCCTCATTCCCCCAACCACCATTCCCTCCCACACCATCATCTCTCTTCCTCTTGTACCAGAAAGCCTGGTGCTTGCTGGTGAACCATCCTGTCCATGTGGATACCCAACCATGGCAAGATGTCAACCCCCAACACCTGGATGACAGAACTCCTTTCTTCTATTGCCCTCCATGTTTTCATGAAGTTCTTCCCTCGCCTACTCTAGACTTGTAGTTACCAGCCTCCTCCAGGCCCCACCCCTCACCTGCACCTGACCAAGGTCAGGGGCAGGATCTATCTCAGGCCCCTGGGCTTGGGGCTGGTACTGTGGCTGGCCACATTGATGTGCTGACAAGCGCACCTGGCCCCACATCATCACTGGGAGCCACACAGAAGGCCTGGCTGAGTTGTTCTCTCTGCTCCCTGTGGCCCCAAGTGTGCACCCCACCTCCACCCCGCCTGGGACCACAGCTCCTCACCACTGAGCTGTAAGTGTGGCCATCAGAGCCGCAGACAGAGGCAAGGTGGGCCATGTGACAGGGCTTACAAACGGTGTCTTTGTTTCCATGGAGCTTCACGGCAGGCTGCTTGATCCTACAGGAGGGGGATAGGAGGTTACAGGAATGAAAGCAAAAATGAGAGACAGACAGGGGAAGGGAGGGTTCAGGAGACCCGTTCCAACAAGAAGCTGCTCTTGGTGATCTACAGCATTTGGAGCTGCCTCCCTGCCCCCGCCCACCCTCCTATCACCCCCAGTCAGACCCTCCTCTCGCTCATAAAAGTAGAACCAATCAGGCAGAGTACAAACACTCCCAGCTTCCCCTTTCCAGCAGGGCCCTCAGGTTCAACTCCAGGTTCAACTGTAAGATGTAAATGAGAGTTGTACTCACATAAGGGGTCAGGTCAAATCAGAAGTTGCAAACTGATGGCCCAAGGGCCACTTGTGGTCTGTAGACCCGAATTTTATTGCACACCAAGGATTTTTGTTTTCAATTGGGTTATTTACCAACATTTGCAAAATGGAAGAGTTCACATAAAAAATCCAGAATTTCTGGCCTAGGTAAAATGGAAGATATGAGAGTCCTGGTCCCACATTTCCATAATGCCTGGCCTCACCAGACTGGTCTGTCACCAATGCAAGCTCTCTCTTTATCCATTTACATTACCTGCCAGGCCCCTAAAGGCATCTAAGATTGCAACCCCATGTCCCTGGTTTCTGATTATATGATTAAGGAGAAAGGGGAGGGGAATGAGATCTTCTCCAAGGGTCTTAGAGTCAGGCAGGGTCTTGTCCTTGGACTGGAGCTAAAGCCTCAAATACGCCTCACTCCTTCCCTCCTCTGTGAGGTCCACTTGACTAGGGCCAACAGCGAAGTGAGTGATCTTGGAAGTGGATCCTCCAGCCTGAGTCCAACCTTCAGAGGAGGGAGCCTCAGTGCACATCTTGACTGGAACCTCCTGACAGTCCCTGAGCCAGAACCACCCAATAGAACCACGTCTGGCTCCTGACCCTCAGAAACTGTGTGCGGTAACACACATTTGTCCCTTCAAGCCACTAAGCTTTGGGGTAGTTTGAGCTGCAGCAAGATAATTGTTACCTAGGAGAGGATCAGTTAAGCCCTTCCTCTTTAAGCAAACCCCCTCCAGGCCTTCCACCTCCCCAAGGCCCTCACCTATGCTCCAGCTTCTTGCGGCTGATGCACATGGCCCGCTGATAGCCCTGGGCAATGCACACTTTATGACGGCTGCACTTCACCTTCTGGCAGGGGTCCTTGGTGGTATCCAGGGCTGCAAGGACAAAGAGTTAGGACACAGGTTATCTGGGATTCAGTGTCAGAGAGCCCAGGAGCCTACAGCCCCACTTCTGAGCTGGGAAGCCCCCGTCTCTAGCAGCCCTTGATAACCACAGCTCCTCAACTTGGAAGTTTCATCTCAATCCGGGCCTGGCTCCCCAAGGAACCTCCAAGGCCACAATCAGGACTTGCCCTCTGGTCACAAATCCTCATGGGTCAGTCACCTTCCCCCACGAGAGGGGCATGTTACCTTCATCTCCTTGCTGATTGTCCTCCCAGCTCTTGATGTAGTCATCCTAGGGAAGGACAGAGTGGGTGAGGGGGAAGGAAACGGCTAAGATTTACATCTTAGAGCCAAAGTTCAACTCCAGGGCCAACAGAGCAAGGGCCTGGGCCACTGCTTCCCTATGCCAACTGCCATCATCCTGGTGGCTTCCCAGGTGACCCTGTCTACCCAAGCCCTGCCAGCTGCCTCCCCCAGACCTTTACCCCCTAAACCCATGTCCAGAATCCTTCTGCCCTCATCCCTAAGTTCCTTATTTCTGACCCCTCATCCCACACTGAATGCTGCAGGGAAGGAAAAACTGGGGTGAGGGTGCAAGGGAGAACAGTGGGGTGTAGAGTTACAGGTACATATGCAGGGGGCCCCAGGCAGAACTCACCTCCACCTCCTAGGGATCAGGCAGCAGCAGCAGGTCACGGGAAATGGACCAGGAGGAGAGAGGGAGAGATGGTGATTTTAGTGTGTGGCCTATCCTCAGACACGAGGTGTCAGGGCTCCCCAGGCCTTCATCACATGACTGTGGATGCTGGGCAATGGTCTTTGACTGCTACGGTCCTCTGATCTCTATGACCTCCAACTGGGGGATGGTATTCCTATGTCTTTACAATAGAGAGCTTAAGCCCTGGGCACACTCAGGGCTGGCCTTAGGAGCAATAGAGGTGAGGCTCAGGACTTTGAGAACGAGGTCCCATCCTTCCACTCCAGGCCCTAAAGATGGTTCCAAATGCCCAGCCCTGGCCCCACCACTAGGACGGATGTCTGAGGGGCCCGTACTACCTGGGAAGGGATTCTCATACCACTGCCTTGGCTGTTTCAGAGACATCTTCTCTCCTTCTGCCAGGGTCCTTTCCTGGGCAGTCGCCTCAACTGACACCTGCCCACCATGCAAGTGAGGCAGAAAGTGCCTCTCCTCTGGGCCACATGGGGACTGTTTTTCAATCAACATTTAACTTTCCTGCAGAACTGAAATGGTACACTGAGAGAAAGGGGGGTCGTGGCCCCTCCTGATGGCTTTCTCAGTTCCACCATCCAGCTGCAAATCCTGACCCAGAAAATCCTGAAAAGCCCCTCTGAGGTCATCCGTCCCAGCCCCCGCTGTGTGCAGGAGAAGCCAGGAAGCCCAGAGACAAAAGAGGACCTGATCCAGGTACCACCATCTCAAAGCCCAGGTCTCCCAGTTCCCAGTGTAGAACTCTCTGCTGGATACAACACACCATTAGGGACCCAAGGCAACTGTGTGCTGGGTGTTCATAGGTAAACAGGATGCTTCAATAAAGTTCACCCAATGCTAGATGATCTTTTATCTGAAAATGAAGTAATAACTCACGTATGTGTCCAAGCAGCCAAGTGTCCCAGCCTTGGATTCAGGAGCAGCAGGAGGAAGGCCACAGGAGGGGCTTCCAGGGAACCTGGCCTGGGTGGCCCCCTGGGCACTGGACAGACCAGCCCAGGCTCCTGGCTCAGGCAGCCACCTGATTCCTCAGGGCGGCTGGAGTCCTCTTGTGCCCCGCCCCTAAGCAAGCTTCTACAGTGACTGCAGGGCAGCCGTTAGGGAACTACAGCATAATTCCATTTGCCAGGACCAAAGGAAGCCAGCCCAGACCCAGCCCTTCTCCAGGAGCTCATCAGGGTGAGGGGTCCGTCCCCCGGTGTCTACTCCACCATGGGTGGGAAATGAGGCTGAGCGTGACCAAGTGGTCGAGGCTAGAGTTATGAGTTGGGGCAAATGTAGAGACTGGCCTCCACTGAACTGGGGTCTTCTCACCGACCCGGCATTCTTTGGGAGGGGAGTGGGCATGAGGTTATAAAGAGGACAGGGGAAGTAGCTGGTATGAGTCACCTGCTCTCAACCAACGAGAGCAGAGAGTGCCACAGAACCCACCGACACCTGAACTGGACCAGGGAGGGGTGTCAGCCAAGGGCCTCAATGCCCGCTCACTCCTCTCTCACTCTGGCCCTACCCTGCTGCTTTAACTTCTAACTAGGCTGTGAGCAGAAGCCTTTGGGACTCAGAACCAAGTAGGTTCTCAAAGGTCAATACCAAGAATTTCTGATTAGAAATCCAGGGGGAAGTGGATTTCCAATCCAAGTGGAAGTGGATCCAGGCTGGTGGAAGACAGAGTTCTAAGAAAGGGACTTTAACTGTCTAGTTGCTGCGTGAGAGCCCTGGTGGGGAGCCATCCCCACCCACCCCAACCCGAGCAAAGGTAGGACTCCTTCCTCTCATTCAGGATACAAGGTTTGAGCCCCTTTTGTATGTAAGTGTTGTCCTGAGTTCTAGCTGCGCTCCTTGTCTCCACTGCTGTGGATGAGGTAGGGGGAGGCCTAAGTGGTTCTGGATCCCAGGGCCCTTACTCCCAGGAAAACGGGAGCAGCTAGCCAGAAAGAATGATGAGGAGAGAGGGCCCTGGAGTCACACGTTTCCCCACCAGCACACCCTGGGCAAGCACCTTGGCCTGTTGGAGCTTAGCCTCTATCTCCTGGGATCACTCAGAGACAAAAGGAGATAGGGTCTGAAAAGTGCCTGGTGTTCACAGAAGACTCAACAAATAAAAGCTGTTATAGCAGAAGAGACCAGAGATCTCAGATGGAAAAAATGGTGGAGGGGCAGGAAATGGGCAGGGAGAGGCTACACGAGGGGCCCCGGCAAGTGGAGGAGAGCGGCCACCACTGGGACAGCAGAGACCACAGGGGTGCGAGCAGGGTCACCCCCAAGGGGCCTCAGTGAGAGGGGCGATGAGGAAGTCCAGTGGGTGACATGGGAATGGCTGCTCCGGAGGCAGAGACCAGGGGCACACTTGGGAGCTTCTAAGGTCAGGTGTGGGCTGGTCCACCTATAAGGTACAAAGGAGGCATCTGTTGGCAAGTGTGAATAATGCCTTTCAAAGCAGTGGTGTCTATTTATGGCACCCAAGTGGGCTCACTAGCGATTATGAGACATGGTCTGGTAAGGGCACCGGAGACTCCTCAGGAAACAGGCCTGTTCCATACCGGCTCTGCTGCCGACCAACTGTCCTCTCCTGAGAAATGGGGGTTTGGAAGCGCCCACCTCCAGTACTCTGGGTCCAGGGCCAGGCTGAGACCCAAAGCTCTGGGCAAAGGGGAAGCCCATCTATTTCATCTGGTAGTAGAACCAGCCATGACCACCCCTGCACCCAACGGTGCTCAGCACAGGGCAGGCACATGGGGAAAGGTTGGGATATATAAGCAGCTTATATGTCATGGTGCTTTTAAATTAAGTCCTCTCTATGTATTTTTATGTCTGTCTTCCTTTTATTCTCAAATTCCTGTGAATAGAGCAGGATGGATAGGATCAGCTCCACAAAAAAAAAAAAAAAAAACAACGAGAAAATGGAGGCTCGGAGAAGCAGGGCAACAGGTCAAGGGTCCCAAGACAGATGAAGAGCTGGGCCGGGACTTCCCATCTGGGCTCGACCCTATGACCCTAACCCTATACAGGAAAGCTTTGCTCTTAGGGGGACAAGGGGAATGGGTGGCAAGGACTTTGGATCCTGGGTTTGCTCTAAACTTGGTGTGCTGTGCATCCTCGGCAAGTCACTTGCCCTCTTGGGGTGTTTCTCAGCAACAGCTGAACATCGGAACCACCTGAGGAACCTTTTCAGCCCTCCGTTGCTGGCGCCACCCAAGCCCACAGGGCAGGCAGCCCTGGGCTCCCCTGGGCTCAGCCGGCAGCTGAGTGAGCCCATGGCAAGAGCCCTCAGGTGTCAGGTCCTTCCAGCTCTGCCTCTTGTGTCTAATGCTCTTATCTGCTCTCACAGGGGGCCTCAGGGAGGAAAAAGAGCAGTCATTCACTTTCTTCTGAGGACACGTCACACAAAGCAGATCCTCAGGCCAACTCACTAACCAGGGTCTCCTGACCTCCAGCCTGAAGCCTTTTCCTTTGGAAAGTGAAGAAAGTGTTAGTTGCTCAATCCTGTCTGACTCTTTGCAATCCCATGGACTGCAGCCTGTCAGGCTCTTCTGTCCATGGGATTTTCCAGGCAAGAATACTGAAGTGGGTTGCCATTTCCTTCTCCAGGGGACCTTCCTGACCCGGGGATTGAACCCGGGCCTCCCGCATTGCAGGTAAACTCTTCACTGTCTGAGCAACCAGGGAAGCCCAAAGAGGATGCTGTGGCTGAGTGCACATTAATTTATTCTCTCAAATCTCAGGACACCAAGCCCACTGCACCCGCTGCTCTCTCTCCAGCCTGCCCTCCCCTCCCCACCCCCACTGGTCCCACCATAGCAACCCTGGCCTCAATTACTACGGGGTCTCCTCTGGGCTCTCCTCGACCCCACCCAACTCCCACACCCCTGCAGGCACAGGGATCTTTCTAGAACACAATTCTGATCATATTTCTCCTATCCTAAAACCCTTTATTGAGTATGCAACTTTCTCTCATTTTGAAAAAACTATTTAAAGGTGATTAGGTTAAAAGGATTAAAATCAAAATATTAACAGTGACTTCCTGTGGGGAGAGGAATAGAGAATTTCTGCCTTTTCATAAGTTTCCAAAATTTCTACAATGAACATGTATTAGTTTTGTAATGAAGGTGAAAAAAAAAAACACACAACAAGTATCATATTTAAAGACCCTCACAGGTTCTCGGTCACCAACAGGAGAAAGCCCATCTTCTCTGTCTGTTCCTGTCCCCATGTCCTTTCACCAGATGTTCCAGTCTGGCCAGGCCTCGGCAGAGCCTTCTTCCCGCCCCGGAATGTTTTTGCATCCAGCCCCCAGAACTTCCATTCGTATTTCAAAACTCAGCTTTCAAACTTTATCTTCCCTAACTTTGCCCCATATCTAGTTTTCCTTCAGGCCGACTATACCTAGTAGTTTATTATTACTCTGGCTACATGAAGCAATGCCATAGCTTCTGACCTCTTTAGATGGCCAGTTTCTTGAGGGCAGAGACCATATGAAGTTCACCTTTCTATGCCCAGCACCTAACAAACAATAAAAATGCCCTAAGAATAGCTAATAGTTTTTCACAAATTACCATGTGGAAGGCATTGTGCTAAACATTTTACACTCATTGGCTCATTTTACTCTTCATAAAAATTTAAGAGAAAATTACTATTATTATCCTATTTCTCAGGTGGTAAAATTGAGGCTTGGAGAGCTTAAGTGACTTATGCAGGATCACACATCAAATAGCACAGCAGAAAAGTATTGGAACTCCGAGAACTGGGATTCCAGACTCTGTGCCCCTAATCAGGACTCTCGTTGTTCCTTAAATGTTAGAAAAAAAAGTCTCAGAACCGAACCCAGGAGGCCTAACCCCAGCCCATGAGTGACTTCACCCTCCACACCAGCTCTGTTCCAACCCCTAGGCTGGGAGTCTTGTAGCAGAATGGAGGGATTGAGAGAGGCAGAGGAAGAC